TAAGAAGCCTGTCCAACCTAGTAGTTCAGGAGCTGAATTAGCATCACTTAGTAGATCTGAAACTTCCCAGGAGAGATCCAGAGATGTTGGAACATCAACAATGCATGTTGGCAGCAATAATAACTCTATACTGTTGCAGACTGCCCAAGCCTTTGTTTCTAGACCAGATAATCAAGAAACTGGAATGTATACTCAAGTCATTTTTGACTCTTGTAGCCAGAGATCTTATATAACCTGCAAGAGACGTGAGCAGTTAAAATTACCTACTGTTGGTAAGGAAACCTTGCTAATCAAAACATTTGGTGACAATTCAGCATCTGTAAAGGAATGTGACATTGTGCAATTGTCCATCAGAACAATAGATGGAATGAGTGTGTACGTCACTGCTTACGTTGTACCAGTAATATGCAGTCCAGTATCGAACCAAGAAATTCAAAGTGCAGTAGAATGCTATCCATACCTTCAAGGGCTACAGCTTGCATGTGGAGCTGTTAATGGAACAGTTAGTGTTGACTTACTAATAGGAGCAGATCACTACTGGTCTTTCTTTACTGGAGGAATAATTAGGGGAGATCCTTCTGGACCTGTAGCTCTTGAGATCAAGTTGGGATGGGTACTGTCAGGACCAGCTGCAGTTCCAGCATTGACAGAGTCATGCACAGTTAACCTAAGTGCTACACATGTTTTGAAAATTGAGTCAGCTGACATCAGCCATGTGCAAGATGATTTGCAGAACTTTTGGGACTTGGAAACCTTAGGCATAAGGGACACTGAAACTTCAGTTCATGACAAGTTTTCAAATGAGATAAGATTCACTGGTGAAAGATACCAAGTCAAGCTACCATTCAAGGATAATCACCCTATGCTGTCAGATAATTATACAAATGCATCACGAAGGTTGGCAACTGTGATTAAGAAGCTTAAGACCCAACCAGAAATACTGGAACAGTACGATCAAGTGATTAAGGAGCAATTAGAAAGTGGAGTAGTTGAAGAAGTGCGGCAAGATCAAGTCCTAGAACCTGGAAAGGTGCACTATCTCCCACACAGGGGAGTTGTGAGACTTGACAGAGATACAACAAAAGTTAGAGTTGTATACGATGCCTCATCCAAGGTGTTTGGACCAAGCTTAAATGACTGTCTGCATGTCAGACCTTCATTAAATCCTCTTCTACTGGACATTTTGCTGAGATTTAGAGTTCATGAAGTTGCTGTAACTGCTGATATTGAGAAAGCATTTTTGAATATTGAGATTGATCCAGAACACAGAGACTTTTTACGATTTCTATGGGTAGATGATGTCGATAAGGAATCACCTGAGATTAAGTTACTTCGCTTTACAAGAGTTGTATTTGGAGTGAATGCTAGCCCTTTCATTCTCAATGCTACTATCAGACACCATGTTAATACATGTATGCTGAATGACAATGCACTTGCACTTGAGCTTTTGAAGTCTTTGTATGTAGATGACTTCATTTCTGGGGCCAAGGATGTGAACAATGCCTTTTCTTTGTCAAAGGAGATAAAACTCTGTCTCAAATCAGGAGGGTTCAATATGAGGAAGTGGAACAGCAACTCAGCAAGTCTTTTGCAATCACTGAAACAAGATTCAGCCTTCAGTGGAGACTTTGCTATAAACAGTAAAGAATGTGTTCAAGAGGAAGATGAGAGCTTCTCAAAGTCAGTTTTTAAGCAAGATACTGAGAAAGAGCAGAAGGTCTTGGGAATGCTTTGGAACCCTAACCAAGATGAACTGATCTATGACTTGACTAAGATATTGGAGGGTGTGGACGTTCAGGCAGCTACAAGAAGACTGATTCTCAGTACTGCTACGAGATTCTTTGATCCCTTGGGGTTAATATCTCCAGTTATTCTACCCTTCAAGATTATGTTTCAAAAACTGTGCAAGGCAAAAAGGGACTGGGACGAGTTAGTGGATACCGAACTCCACCAAGAGTGGTTGTCAACTTTGTCAGACCTAAGACTAGCTGGAAGAGTGAGTTTTAAAAGGTGTTATGCTGAAGGTCTCGGTGGGAATGAAGTTAAATCGCTCCAACTTCATTGTTTTGCAGATGCGTCGGAAAAGGCGTACGGAGCCGTTGTTTACATGAGAGTAGAATATGAGTCAAGAGTACAATGTGAGATTGTGGCGTCAAAAACCCGAGTAGCTCCGTTGGATAAGCAAACCATACCGCGTCTAAAACTGTTGTCTAACCTTACTGCGTCAAGATTGGTGAAGAGTGTGAGTCAAGCTTTAGAAAACGTTGTGAGAGTTGGTGACGTAGTCAATTGGACGGATTCTATGATTTCCTTGTGGTGGATTAGGAACACTGATAAGGAATACAAGCAATTTGTGGAGAATCGCGTGAGCGAAATCAGACGAAATGCACCGCCCGAGCAATGGAGGTACTGTCCTACGTAAGAAAACCCGGCTGACATTGCATCAAGAGGAATTAAGGCCACTGCACTCAAAGAAAGTAGTTTGTGGTTACATGGTCCAGAATTCCTGTCTAAGGAAAGCGCCTACTGGCCAGTCCAGCCTGTAAATGTACAAGCCAAGGAAGAGTTGTTCGAACTGAAATCAGCCAAACCTACAGTCTCCAGCTTATTGAACACGTGTACCGAAAAACAAGAAGCAAATCTGGAGAGTATCATCAATCCTGAATCCTACAGTTCCATCACGAAGCTCATAAGAGTTACTTCACTTGTGTTACTATTTGTCAAGAATTTGAAAAGAAGGGACGGATCAAGTGATCAAGAAGAATCCTTGCAAGTTTACAAGCAAGCTGAGAAGAAGTGGATTAAACACGTTCAAAAGGGTATCGTGAACAGTGACAAGTACCAGCAAATGAAGTTGACTCTGGGACTTTATCAGGACAGTGAAGGTGTAGTCAGATGTCAAGGAAGAATAGGTCTGTCGTCGTTACCATATGATACCAAATTTCCTGTGCTTCTGCCTAGAGAACATTGCTTTACGAGATTGGTGATCCTCAAGTGCCATGAACAAGTCATGCACAATGGAGTAGCAGAGACACTGGTTCAACTGCGTTCAAAATACTGGGTCGTTAAAGGGAGACACACAGCTAAGAAGATATTAACCAAGTGTGTAGTATGCAAGAAACTTGAAGGTCGCCCCTATGGAGTGCCTCCTACCCCTCAACTACCTGAATTCAGATTGTCTGACGACTTCGCATTTTCAAGTATGGGAGTAGACTTTGCGGGTCCCATTTTTGTCAAGGATGTGTACAACAAGAGTAGTGTTATGAACAAGGCATACATTGTGTTATATACGTGTGCATCTAGTCGCGCGGTTCATCTAGACCTTGTTCCGAATATGTCAACTCAAGCGTTTGTGAGAAGCTTCAAACGGTTCACTGCTCGACGAGGTGTACCAAGGCTTGTTGTATCGGACAATGGTTCCGCTTTCAAGAGTGAAGAGCTCAAAAGGTTGTTAGCAGAGTATAGCATATCCTGGAAATATAATGTGGCATTAGCACCCTGGTGGGGTGGATTCTTTGAACGTCTCGTTAAATCAACAAAGCGCTGTCTGAAAAAGAGTTTAGGAACAGCTCGAGTCACTTATGAAGAACTGCTTACAATCATTGTCGAGACCGAAGGAATCCTGAATTCAAGACCTCTAACTTACGTGAGTGATGAAGTGCGAGATCCTCTTACACCGTCGCAACTGGTTATTGGTCGTCGCTTGTTGAGTTCAAACGGAAGCGCTAAACAACCAAGTGGGGGAGATCACACTGTGCGAGATCTTTCAAGACGTGAGAAGTACTTGAATGCTGTACTTTCACATTTTTGGAAACGTTGGCAGAAGGAATACTTAACAGAATTACGTGTTCATCACAACTGCAATTCTAGTAACAGGAAGCCAACGATTAAGGTCGGAGATGTTGTTTGCGTCTACAAGGACAAAGCGCCGAGACAACTTTGGAGTATGGGAGTCGTCAAATCTCTCATTACAGGACGAGATGGTTACCACAGAGGAGCTGTTGTAATAGTGCGTAGTGGAGATCGAGTCGTGGAAATGACAAGACCCCTAAATAGGCTTTACCCTGTAGAAGTCGAATCACAAGTGCGGGAAGCGCGTCAGAACAGAAACACTGATTTCCCTATTACCTTCGTGGGAAATGCCGAACAGGAACATGTCAGTGAACATTAACATTAAGTCAAAGAACAGCGAACTCTTTTCCTTTAATTTGTTATTTTATTCGTTTCGTTGTTGATTGACCCGTGTCAATCAAGGCGGGGAGTGTGTTAGAAATTATTGCGTCATTGTGGCGGGAAAACCCGTCACGTGATCTGAAAACTGAGCTTTTTGTTAGAACTGTGTAGTTGTTCGGAGATGTTGAGCTGAACAAGTGTGTGGATTGAGTTTAGATCATCAAGTTTTGCGCGCATTGATGTCGATGAATCTTTTAAGTGTAGAACAGAGTACAGAATTCTAAAATATGAACATGTGAAGAAATATGCTTTAATGGAGTGAAGAATAAATGCTACAGAGAACTGATTATATATACAACATTTGGTTACATGAATAGAATTGTGACTTCACTATGCAGCTTTTAAACAAACGAGGGCAAGGAATGAGAAAGCGAAATCTCGTTTGCTTTTTGCACAGTTTTAAAGTTTGCAATTATTCCAGAACAACATGGTCTGGTAGGGTACTCTCAATCCGGTATTTGACGCAATTAAAGTGCAGGTCTTGGAAAAACACAAACTCTCTTGAAGGAATACCACAGGCCACCCAAACTCATGTTACAAGGAAAGAGCGTAAAGTAAGACGCGTGACCCTTCTGCTGGACGCGCCGGTGTCACGTTGGTTGTGTTAAGTGTTGAAAATAAGAGTGTGTTGAAAATAAGAGACTTTGTATGGGAAATAAAATACTGAGATCTTCGAACGCTAAATAACGTTAAATCTAATTTTTCTTTCTATGAAATGAATAAAAAAGACTTACCTGCGACGTATTCCATTGTGTTTCAGTGTCTCACTATTGCTTGGGTGGCGAGTCTCGCCGAAGTCTTGGCACGGGATGCGGTCCGCAAGAAAACTTGTATTCGGTGTGAGATGACAGAAGCTCGAGTGAGGGATCAGGACCCCGCTCCATCTCTTCCAGACCCTGTACCAAAGACAACCGGGGTAGGAAGAGAACTCCATTATCTCTGAGAGATAGGGATATCCTACATGTACTTTCCTCTTAGAGGTCCATGTATATTGCAGATTTTGACCGTACTTAGAGATTTTAGGGTTAGTCACACACATGACTACATTCAACTATATTTGCGGATGATACTACTATTCTTGTGCGAGGGCTCTCTGTTACTTCCCTCTGCACTCAGTTGAATGAAGTTGCTAGAACTGTACCTACGTGGGCTGATAATAATCGAATGTCACTTAACACAACCAAAACTAAATCTTTACTTATTACGACCCTGCAGAAACGCCCTACTTTAACCAGCTCGGCACTCAATGTCCAAATCGATGGGCGTGCTGGGCGTATACTCCTTGATGCCGACCTCTCTCAGGCTTCTATTTCTTTATTTTTAAAACTTAACTGGATTCCCGTTTTTGATCTTATTAAATACAGGAAACTTTTTCTTCTTTTCATCGTACTCCTTAATCCGAATGCTCCTAAATGTCTCAGGAACAGATTTCAATTTCTTTGTGATTCGCGTGGACCTCTGGGCCGTTTTACAAGAGCCTCTCTCTACGACTTAAAGGTGCCATGCCCACATAGCAACTTTGGAAAACGCACCTTGGCCTATACTGCTACTAAAGTTTTTAATAACCTCAGTTCCGACTTAAAAGAGTTTTCTATTTCTTCTTCTCCACCGATATTTAAATTTCTTCCCTCCTCTCTTAAGTCTCAATTACGAAGTCTGTTTTTCTCACGCCTATCATCGGCTGAGCACTTGGAGGATCTATTGTGCTCGACTTGCCGCTATTCTATTCATTGTCACTGTTTTTCATAGTCCTACTACAACCACTATTACGTCTTTTAATTTATATTTATGTATATATGTATACATGTTCATTTATAGTACATATTTTTTCCCCCTTCGTTGATTTATATATTATTCATTACGTGTTTATGGCCTATTCTACTTTAAATATTGTCTCTTTTGTGTACAGATATATATATATATATATATATTTAAGAAGATATAACGAAGAGACAAAATTCTCTGTTACTTCGAGTTTCGTGCTCACGCACTCATCAGACAGTATTTAATCTTGTCTCTTCGTTATATCTTCTTATTCAAAGCTCTACACTTAAAAAGGGTATTGAGCACTGTTTAACGGCTTTAGCCACTTTATTACACGTATACATATATTTATAAATTTATTTGTTTTTAGTTTTCTAAACTTATTTATCTATTTATTTATTTTTTGAGGGCTGTAGGTTAGAAAACTGTAATAGGTTATTGCGCTTCCCTCTTTAAATAAAGTTATTGTATTGTATTGTATTGTACATGAATTGTACAAGAAGCAACCTTTTGGCATAAATTGGAAAAACGAGCTTTTTTTTACTATTTTTAAACGAAACACTGCCAGCATCTTTTAGGAGACTCCACCAGAGCCCTGAGTTTCTTTTGTCGCTTGATCTCTTTATTTTTTAAGCTTTGTTGATGGTTCAGTCTATTTTTCTTTTTTCATGTCTTATTACTGATGGGCTAACTTATCCGAAACCGACTGACCATGACCGGAGTGTATGAAAGGCACCGAGACAAATTAAAAATTGACGTAGACGAACTCATGGCTGAACAACCAACTGACCGAACGATTCATGGACGTGTCCCAAATTCATTACCACCCCTTAGAGGCACCAATATTCAACAACAACAAATTATATAACTGACACTGCAAATTTTAATAGTAATAAAGATAACATGATAACTTTCGAACACTTTCTTCTAACGGACGTTTTGAAAGTATTGCCATAAAGCTTTATACTAATCAGTCATTTTAGGTTTTAGCACCCTAAGCGGTACCAATCCACAAATTGAAACCTCTAATAGGTACGACGAGCACCGCTGTCACTTTTATATTATCCAAAATTAAAATTCTGACATAGACGTGTTATTGAGCAACATAGATTTGCAGGAAGGAAAAGGGCAGAAATTAAAAGAAAAAAACAAGGTTTTTGACCACAAATCCCCTTCAGTTCAAAGGAGCCTCTCAGTTATCTGATAAAGTCACCAACAAAGCATCAAACTCTTTGACCAGTTCCTCAAATGTAGGTCTTTGTGTGGGCGATTCACGCCAACATTTCAACATAATCTGATGACTAAGCGAAAAAGATCACACGAAAACACAAAATATGTTTTCCATGACTTCTGGAAATCGCTGTCGGCTAAAACGGGTTCAAAACGACTATCGGTTCTTCGATTACCTTTTAGGAATGCTTTTTTCCCTTGCTGTATTCGCAGCCCTCTGTTTTCGTTTTATCGTACTTGATGTTATATTATTTTGGAAGTAAGTGTAAAAACCGATTGCGAGGAGGTGGAGCTGAGACGAGAGCCCGCTCCTTACATCCTTTGTATTTTATAGACTGAGTGTGGGGATGAGCTTGTTTAGAAACAGAGTTGTTAGGCGCACATTTTGGGAACGGCACATACCGAAACGTGGTTGGTTATTGAGAAACAGGGCGTTTAAAATGTCATTGTGGGGTTTAAAGTAAGCTTTTTCAAAACAAAATACCAAGCTCTTCGACACAAAAACGTACCAATGAAACCATTTCTGGTTCACTGATTTGGGAAATGATAACGAAACCAGTTCGGTTACTTACGTGCTCTCTGCGTGGACAGCTGAGTGACTTTTCCATTCGGTATCCAGATTTTAAAAGGTCAAACTGGTTTTCTAAAGGAACGACAGGGTAAGGTGACCCACCTAGAATCATTTATTGAAAGATGTTAATAGAAGTGCGAATATTAACCGTTTAAAATACGTCAATCAAGATTGACCAAGGGGCTAGGGTGGTGAAAAGAAATTATTCTCGACCTATGGCTTTTTTGTCTCGTGAATATCAATGTGACTTACGTACCAAAAGTAACTATTTCCCATAAAAATATTCCAAAGGACCACCTGATGAAAGAATGGGAAAACATATTGTTACCACATTTGATTCCGTCATGGAGTTCAACACCATTTATCAGCACTAAAGCACACGTACCAACTCCGAGGTATGACTATTAAAGGGTCTTTAAGACATGGGTTCGCCAGTTCATAGACCCGACGGCCTTGCCATGCTGATGAGTCCCAAAAAGGGCGAAACAGCTGCCCAGGTGATGTCAGTGTTGATAATTGGAGAAGTTATTCAAGCTGTTTCACTGCAGGTTAGTTCAATTATTCGAAGTAAAGTTGCAAAAAGATAAAATCACTGTATGTCTTCAGAGCATCGTTATTCAAATTGATACAACAGATATATTTTACTTTAGAAAAAGTTGATTGCAAACCGCCTCAAGTTTCTTTAATTTTGCCCATTCGTTCCTTCCTTTATATTTGGTCTATTTGCTATGTTGGCTTCAAAACTTATTAATAATTCATAGAGAAAAAACCGAAAGAAATTAATGTTTATTTAGTCTCTTTATATCTGATAAAGACACGGCTAAACTTGACCAAAATAGCCCCAAATCTAAATATTAGTGCAAGAATGAGTTGATATCAGAGATTTTGAAGCCGTTCAAAAAACTCCCAGTCGTGTAGGTCCGTGTATTATCGGGCCAGCCTCCAGTTTTTGTGTTTTTAAACCTGATAATACACTCCTGCTAGTTTTATTAAACAGTACTTAACGTTCCTTCATCATTTCCGGAACCAGTTGCTGCCTAGCTAATGGCTGAATTTGGGCAAATTTTGTTAACTAGGCCCCATCATAAGCCATTTCCGCCCTTGCAACCGTCGTGTAAGTGCTAGTTGTCACCGTAGCGAATTAGAGTGAAACCTCGATATAACGAACCTTTATGTAACGAAGTCCTCGGTATTGGCCATTTCGGAGTTGCGTAAGGAACTGGGGCGGGTTTCAAATTTATACTAATCGATGAACTGACACCACCATATAAAAGGTCATGTTGAGATTGGTTATTTGACCAAGTTTGCTGCTCTAAGGTTGAACAGGGATCAAGTTATGACTCTTGAAACATGGTTAAAAACAATACAAACGTCTGTAATTTTGTTACAGCGTCACCCAAAACCATATAAACTCTTCATTTTTTTTCACGATTTCTGTGACATTCCCGAAAATGGGCAAACATAGTAATTTTCGAATTAGTTTCTGCCAAGTAGTAGATGCTTGACGAATTTTACAGTTTGACAGAAAAGCTGAAAAATATTTTAAAGATCGAGTTTACATGGTTTTTGGGGACGCTATCACAAAATTATAGAGACGTTTGTATGAATCTTTAACCATGCTTCAAGGGTCATAACTTGATCCCTGTCCAACCTTAGAGCACCAAACTTGATCAAATAAGCTTTTTTATTATTCATTCAAAATATTTTCCCGATTCTGATTGGCTAAAAGCACCCGTTCCATTCACCATATCCAGTTACTGATGACCAAATTTGGAAGAATTTTGTGTTAAACGACGAAATGACGTCAAAAATGCAGCGTTTTCGCAGGTTAAGGCACCGTTAACCGAGAAGACCTGGGGACGAGGTTGAGTTGTTTTGCTTGTGAACTTGAAAAATGGCGGACATTTCACTCGTTTCAAGAGTAAGAACTAGGCGAAAAAATAGCTAAAAACATGGCAAGAACAGCAAGAAGACAACTCGAAGGGCGACATCTGCTATTTGGAGAATATTTGCCGAGCTGCACAAACCTAAACGTGCACTATCGAAGATGAACTTAACATCGATGGATCGATGGAGGTGAGCATGTTTTAGCCATGTTTTTAAACTAAGAATTATTTTGAATGAATAATAAAACAATTGTTGAATTCGGCTTTCATATCATATGAAGAATTATGGAGATCTCCTCGATCTCCATAATTCTTC